GGGGGGGGGAAGTCACACAAAGGAAGTTTAAAATTTACTAGGCATACGTTTAGAAGAGTTTGGGGTTTGGCTTTTGCTTTTATAGAAGAGAGATTACACCAGACATTTCAGAATGTCTCACAGTCCCGAATATGGGACGATTGGGATGAGCTACAGCCTTCAGCGCAAGAGAGGCACCAGGCCACTAAGCAATACTTTGTTCAAGATCACAAGGTAGAATACCTACCTACGCTAGTTCCTGCTCTTGACTGAAGCATGACTAAACTTTGGTTTAGTCACTGTTTTGAGGACTGGTGTACAGCTCATCTAAGATAGCTTCTTGTAGGCTGGAATAGATGAATTTTCATATAAAGAAGCTGACAAAATGAGTAACAAGGTAACAACTTACCAGGATCAAAATTATCTCCAAATATTCTTTTAGCTGGAATCTTCAGGTTCATGGTGGGAAATTGCTTCTTTAGCTGTAAACAAAACATGTATAATTGGATTGTGCTTAGACAGAGGGCCTAGAAATAACTGCATTTTGTTTGTTTTCTGACAAACACTTTGAACATCCGATTATCAGTAATTCTGCTCCTCTCTGCCACCTCCTCTACTCATACACTTAGGGGGAAAAAAGCAAACCCAAAACAACCTGTACTCTGCTTGTTTGCACCAGTCACACCCTTTTAAATTCAAAGGCCATCTCACTTTAGAAAGCTATGGACTATTGCAGCTATCTTCCGCAGTACTGGCAAAATGATTTTCCACTTGCCCCAGATTAAAGAAGTAGGCTAGAATTTCAGTGTTGGTTTTATTCTCCTCTTTACTTCCTTCCTCCATCAATTCTCTCTCTCTCGGGTTTGTTTTTTCCTTGCCTTCTTACATAGGGATATATGCATGAGGTTTAAGATGGACTGGGGATACAGGCCTCTGGATTTTGCCCAAACAACATTCTTAAAGCTTGAGAAACCACAGGTAGCCTACCCCTAAGTCAAAATTGTAAATAGATGAACAACCTATTTTACGATGCTGCATTTGATAATATTCTACACTTCATAAACTGACCAGAAGATCGTCTACAACAGCACTGAATTTATCAAAAAACCTGACGTGAGCCAAGCCTTGATTACATTTGCTTCATCTTCAAGCACTCCAGGAAAAGCAATCTTATTCTCATCCTCTTTAAAAGAGTAGTTTTCTAATACAGGAGCTGGCAATTCTTCTTCCTTAGAAACATCAGTATCTCTTCCAGTTAGCAACACAAGTTCTTTTTGGTGTCCTATACTATATGAATTACACTGAACAGAAACTGGACTAAATGTCCTCCTGGTTATGCTTCCCCAGGACCTCCACCTCTACACACATTAAAGACCAGTGCTGAACAAACTTCAGCAGAGCAATGCTAATCTGAATAGCAAGAGAATGTGGCAAAGGGAACAGGATCACCAACACCCACTCTGCAGGTATCAAAAAGGGGATACTTTGTTTTCATATCACTTGGAAGTCTACCCCAAGATGCAGGCAAAGCATAGCATGGTGCATCCAGGCTGACTTCAGCTCAGGCTTTGTAAGACAGCTCCAAGCTCACTGCCTGCATTTGTATACCACTTCCACATATAAATCCAGGTACAGTGAGGCAGAACGGAGAAAAGCCTGACTACTCCCCATAGGGGCAATGGAAGGGAAATGGAGCAGCTGGTATTCTTTTCTTACGGGGATCACACAGGAATTATTTCTTCTTCTGTCAAAACAAAAATTGTGGGCTCTAAACATGAAGAACTGGAGAAAACTATGGACACAGGACACATAATAGACTACACATCTGAGCAATTATTTGCCCCACTTGCCCACTATGTAAAAGGGGCAAAATCCTCTTCTAGCAACAAACCCAAGAAATCCATACTTAGTCTTTGAAGAGGCCTATTTTATTTGGACAACTGCCACAAAAGTTGGCTATGAAACTGCAGGTAGCAATTGCCATGACTGACTTACCAGAAAGTTTATATTAAGAAACGAGAATTTGTTCATTGCTTTCAGTACTTCAAAGTAAAACACTTATTTTAAGAGAAATTTATCTATCTAGATGCTTTAAGTTTTGCAGTGATTTTTGCTATCACAAACAAATGCACATTTCGGATGTTTTGACAACCAGTAAACTGGAAGTTTCTCTCATTACGCTAGGATCCCAAGCAACAATAAAACAAGTGACAAAAGAAGTGGATTTTGAGTTTGAAATTCAAGCAAACCAAAGTTTAAAACCCCACCCTGTAGTTTTCTTTAAACTGGCTCCTACAGTTATTGAATGTTGACTCAAAATCCTCAATCATGGAATTAACTCAAACCATAACGCTGCAAACAAGTGTTACTCTGTGCTATTCTGGCATGATTTCATAGCTTGCCTTTTACTTACCGTATTGTAGAGTTTATCAAACTCCGCATACCGTCTGAAGACGAACCACTCATTTCTGCCAACTGAGACCAACACTTTGTAAACCTGTAGTAGCAAAAATAAAGTTACTGCCAGCAGCAAAGTTTAATAAAACCTCCCAGGTTTAATCCTGTGGTGGAAATAAGGGCAGGCTGTGAAGTATATTGTGTAAATATACTTGTTGAGCTATGTATTTCTTACAGCTGTCACACAGACATCAACACAAATCATTAAAAAAACAATTAGAAGAGCCTGGTATTTTATAGAAATATTTTTTGCTTACCTAGTGTTTAAGCTGATTTAATGGAGTTTCATAAATTAGTTCACCTCCAATAAGAACACCTGGCCATCAGATAACAGTCTATAAAAATTTGCTATGAAATTTGTTACAACTTGATAATCCATAACAAAGACTAACATTAAGGAAATAAAACATTTAAATACTGAAGATTGCCTTCACCAAAACCTAAAGAGAAAGCACATATGGAAGGCAGTTAAGTTGTTTAGCCTGGAGAAGAGGAGGCTGAGGGGAGACCTTATCGCTCTCTACAACTACCTGAAAGGAGGCTGTAGTGAGGTGGGTGTTGGTCTCTTCTCCCATGTAGTTAGCGATAGGACGAGAGGAAATGGGCTCTGGCTGCGCCAGGGGAGGTTTAGATTGGGTATTAGGAAAAATTTCTTCACGGAAAGGGTAGTCAAGCATTGGAACAGGCTGCCCAGAGAGGTGGTGAAGTCACCATCCCTGCAATCGTTCAAAAAACGGGTAGACGTGGCACTTGGGGACATGGTCTAGTGGGTGTGGTGGTGTTAGGTTGATGATAGGAATTATGATCTTAGAGATCCTTTCCAATCTTAATGATTCCTAGTTTTTACTTTCATTATAAATAATCCAGCCACCAAGCCAGGAAACGTGAAATTATTACTCTCCCCTTGATTGGTTTAGTGGTGGACTTGGTAGTGTAGGTTAATGGTTGGACTTGATGATCTTAAAGGTCTTTTTCAACCTAAACCATTCTATGATTCTATGATAACTGTTCCTTGCAACATCTTGAATACATATTGTAGGCAGGATCCTGGCAGATGACACAATTGTTCAGGGGGGAAAAAAATGCTGCTGTGGCTGAAATACAGCACAGGTTACAGAATACACAGCACTGGGATCAAGGGAGGCATAGCTAGAACCTGCTGTGCAGCTATAGCCATTCAAATCCCATGGCAGCACAGGACTCCAGTAACTAGACCCAGATTGTCAATCCCTGCCTTCCTAAATCTGGCTGACAGCCAAGTGTCCAGCAGGCTTCTCCTGTCTCTTACACAACTAGTTGACCTCTCTTCTCCACCTTCTTGTGCTTCCAGAAGGAGCCTGACTATTCCTTCAGGAGAGAGGATGGGCACAGCAAGGAAATGAGCACAGAAGGCTGCTAATTCCTGATGTAAAGAACTGGACCAACACCCCAGTCTCCCTTCTGTCCTGCAACAGCAGCTCACCTCTCTAACTCCCTCAGTGACAGTGGTGGCTGCCACTTCCAGTTCCCCAGCCTGAGATCTGCATTCATGCTATGTTAACTGCTCAAATAAGCTGCTCTCAGTCTTCCCTGGGGAACCCAGGAGGCTGGACAGAAGCATCCGGCAGGATGCTGATGTGACTCTACTTAGAAAACTAGCTTTCCCTTATACTGCTAAACAAGCATTAGCATAAAACCTAGCTACACACCTTCTAGAGCCTCCCTAAGGTGTAAACAGAAAAAACTTCAGCTGCAAAGACTTAAGTACTGTCCTCCTGAACCAGGTATCTTATACAGCAATCAAGTCCTGCAAATAATGCTCAAACACGCATCTTTACTCCCCATGACTGCATGGCAGATCAATACCAACAAGCTTAAGAAGCAGGCCATGGGCAACTTCTTAAATTAGCAGGGCAAAATGCAGAGACCGCAAAGTGCACAGGTGAGCATAACTTAGGATACAAGATGATAGTAACCTCCTTGTCAACCTCAAAATTAAAACAGTTTTGTTCTTGGAGTAGCTGGCTGTAGAACAATGACATGGTCAACATTTTTTACATAAGAGAGCATTAAAAAAACCACACGAGGTCATCCAGTTCACACCATCATGGAAGCTCTTGCATACCCAACACAGTAGAAACTGCAAGTTCAACAGTTAACTGAAGCACTGAACAGTTAAGAACACACATGGTATCTATAAAGAATTTGGTAAACCCCCAAAACATAACATGTCTTTGGGCTGTATTATTACTATCAGCTACATCTATGTAATGATTTAGAGAGATGTGCAATGCTTGTTTCTAGAAAGGCCGGGGGAGGAATCTAGCCTTACTTAGATAATAACCTTTTCAAATTTAATTACTCCTAAACCAAAACTAGTCTTAGAAAACTCCTAAAAAATAGATAAGATGCACGCACACCTTGTAATATGTGGATAAATAGCACAAAGCTTTGAGAAAGGAAAAAGGAAGAAAGAGAATTCCTGAAAACATCATGATCACAATCATCACCATAAACTATCTTCCCAGATACAGATAGGATAGGGTCCAGCTATTTCTGGATGCGATAGATTTCTTCATGAAATAAGTCACTGAAATTAAAAGGCTTCAACTCTGGTTTGGTAGCTCATGCTTCTGGATTAAATATTCATTTTGTATTACACAAAGATAAGTAAAAAGGTAGGCTGTTTTCCAGTTTCAATAGAGCAAGCATTAAGAAAGTAAGGAAGCTATTTATTAAGTGTTAACAAAACAAAAAAAACCAACTCCACAATTTCCACAGGGCTGTGGATTAGTATTATACATCACAGGTCTGAGACAAAGTTTCCAGATTTAATCAAACAGCACCCTTGAAAGAGATTTCCTCTCTCACTCCCCTCCAAAAGCAGTACTGGCAGGCTCCAGTCATTACAACACAGCTACAAGAGGAGACACAGTAAAAGCACTGACAGACACATGCTGGAATTCACAGTTCCTACCATGAAGCTTAGTATGATCCTCGCTTTCCTAAAAGATATGTGTTAATACTCAAAAGCTTGGTTGTGAAAAGCAGTTCTTGTCAAGCTGCTATTTGATGCAGAAAGCAGAAGCTGCCAAGACAAAGTGTACCTCCACACAGTACAAACTGGGTTGGATTCCTTTCCCCTACCTCCCTTAACCCCCAGTTTTTGAAGTTTCCTACTCCTGCTTGTACTGCTTTCTAAAGGGCATGCCCAAAGACAGTGCATTTAAGTTGCTAAGGTTGTCACACAGATCTTCAGGTAGAATGACCTGGAAATCACAACAGTAGTATGTACCACAAATGTACCACACTGGCACATTTTAACAGCAGGACTGCCAGCACTGATGCAATAAAACAAATCTGGTTTGCTCAAGTTCAGACTTTTATGATGTTTTTCCTGCTCATCTGAGTTTCACGTGCACGCAGCAGTTTAAAGTATTAGTAAGGTTCTCTTTTGCTTCTTCCCTCTACCAGCACACTCCTTCCCCAAACTACATCTTGATACACACTTGTAGAATCAAATAGCATTATTCTTCTCCGATGAAGAGAGGTGAAGAGGAAAGACAGATATATAACTCATAGTAAATCTTTGTTTTGCTGTATTCTTCAGACAGCAATTCAGTCTAAGGGTGTTTGCATTCCACATCTGAGGAGTGACTAAGTCACTCAAAAAAACCCAAAAGCTTAGAGGAAGTTGCACAAGAGCAATGAAACACTTTGAGCTTCTTAAAGGAAGTATTACGATGCTGTCTTTATATCCTAGCTTACATATAAGCAAAATATATATCCGTGCCACACTATTTTTCAGTACGCAATGCAAAGAGTTTCCCCACAAAGTGGGAAGACTTTACTTCCAGAAAGCAAGTCAAATTGGGAGGCCAAAAAAGGAAGAGGGAGGGGAATGACAAGGAGTAGAAATGGGAACAGGACAGAATCAGAAAACAGGAAGGAAGACAGAAAAAAGGTCTTTCAAAACTTTGATGGTTATATTTTTTTCTTTTACACAAAAAAATTATAAAAGTACAATAGGATATCTATGAAAAAACTGGCCATTTAAAAAAAAAAAAACAAAACAAAAAACAACCAAACCCACACTTCACTCCTTTACAAAATAAATGTTTTCATGAAAAAAATCATGCAGGATGGTACCAAAGTTATCCCTGCATTTAGACACTTATGTATTTTATATGAGAAAATGTTGCTATTTGGGGGTAAAAGTACCAGAAATTTGTAAAGCCAAATTCTTTTTGCAGAAAGCAACACAGTTAAACACTGTAAAACATTCACAACTTCTCACACTGGACTATGACCAGTACTCACAACAGCAAGTGAACAGTTTTCCATAAACCTGTTGAAAATAATACCAAGCTTACTAGTAGAAAAAGAAAGTGGCACTTCTAGGCACTAATATGCATTTGCCTACAGTGCTTACACCCTTACATACTTACAGTAAATCTTTTTTTCTTCTCTCTGTGTTCATCAGAGCTGGGAATGCTAACACTTGGGCAGCTTTCTTTGAGATCCATTGTATGTGTTTTGACAAATTTGTTACAGGACCCTGCTTTGGGTGTTGCAATCAGAAGGTATCTTCAATGGTATTGATCCAAGATACGCAGCTTTTCTTGAGAAAACGTGAATTCCATCATGTAATCTTAAAGTAAACATAAAAGGAAAATTAAGTACAGGAACACTTAACTCACAGTGCTAAAACCTGTGTGACAAGAACTTTTCCTGGCAGGAAATGCACTTTACTATGCACATATACAACCATAATCATTACGATTTTGCAAACTGTTTCATGCTTGCAGTCCTTTGTTGTTTCACTGAACTCACTCACATTCTCTAAGGACACAAGGGCACCCAAAAAAAAAAAAAAAAATCACTGAGTTGTATAGACATACTGGAAACAGATTTGGGCCCACTACAGACAATACTTTGAAGGAACAAAGACAGAGCACAGAGAAATAATTAAAGATGACAACCTGATACCAGACATCTGATAAAAGCCACTAACATGTACATTCAGAACAGTTTATTTCAAAACCAAAGGTTTTCAACTTCATGATTCTGCACTAGAGGGCATTTTAGATTTGTCAGAACATGCTGAGTGTATTTAATTATCACATTAGAGATGAAAGATGACATGAGAAAAAATAACTTTTCATGTGAATTTTAGAGAGGGATGCAGGTAGCATCATGTGTCTGAATATTTACCTTCTCTGCCCCCTCTTCCCCCATACTTGGCATACTTTGCGTTTAGCAGAACAGTAAGATTGTCCATTCCCTTCAGCAGAACAGTTAGCTTCCTTGCAGAACTTGAGAAAGGCGCAACACAAGAGAGATGGTAAAGCCATCAAAAAGGCAGAGAGCTTAATACTAAGTAGATGCCTCTTCACACACCAAGGGCAGTATTCCCCCCACCTGCCTTGACCACAAGCCAATTGTTTACTGGACCCCACTGCGAACAACAGGAACTTCAGCACTGCCTAAGAGCAGCCGAAATTAATGCTACATAGCTACAACCCTCTGTTCAGGCCTGCACGGCCATCTGAAGTGTTTTAGTGAATGCAACTCAGCTTTTAGAACACTATGTGTCTGACCAGCTTACAAACATGAGAAAAATTTTTTAGAAAGAAGAGACCTCAGTTCTCTTCAAAACACCCAGAGGAAAAATAAGCACTCAGTTCAACACTTAACTCCCTATTTTCTTAAAACAAGGTAGTATAAAAGTGAACTATGTATTTCATATCACAAATTTCCAAAAAGCACAAACTAATCCAATGCAATTCTGCTATTAGGGAGACACCCATATTTATCTTGGCACAAAGGCCAAAGCCCCTGGAATCCAGTGAAAAGATTTGTTCTTGATACCCAACTAGTCTTAATCAGTTGATTCTTTTTCTTGTTCTCAAAAGCCAGATCAACTTTCTGGTTCAAAGTTGTTATTATTCAACCTGTAGCCATTTAAAATTAAGTAATTTTCAAAGATCCTTCTGGTGACTTTAAATGAAAAGGAACGTTTGAAACCACTGTAATCAAAGGCGAGTGATAGATCATTCATACTGCAACATATTTAGAGAATTATTTTTAGTTACAGCTGCATTTACCTTGATTTGATTGTTCCCTACTTCACTGATTAGGTAATTACAGGGTTGAGCAGGGTTAAGCTTCCCCTCGCCTTTATTTGACTATTAACACAGCTCATCCAAGCCAGTTACACAGACTTACAGTTCCAAATTGGTTTCTCTTTTCCTTTGACAAGCCACTATTAAAGGCTTTATTACAACAAGGCACAGTTCCCGTTTTCCACAGTTTTATAGTGGTAGGGGGTTAAGACTGTTCTTCACCCATTGCCACACACTAAAATTAAGACCTGTGCTCTTCTCCATCATAAGAGGACCAGTAAAACAGTCAATAGGCACCACTTTCAGTAAGTGTTTTACTAAGCACTTATGTCAATCTTTAGCCACTTCAGGTCCAGCACCAGGAACTGAGCACAAGTCCCTGGCTTTATCTGTCTTCCTGCTCATCACAGAAAAACAAGTAAAGCTATAAAACAGATTAGGTGTTCCCTGACTAATACCACTCACCATCTTTCTCCCCTTGTAAACTGACATTAATTACAAAGGTTCCTAACATGCTTGCAACTCATTTTCACAATATAGGCTGTGCTTCTCTCATCCCTTTCATTTTCTTATTCTTGGTGTCATAGTTTTAAATACCAGTACAGGAGCAGTATGGATTAAAAGCTGTAGCCCAAAGCGTATCACTTGGAAGACTAAGCTTTATTCCAGATCTGAAGCTGAAAGATCTACATAAAACAAAAGGAGGAAGTGTCACCCAGATTAATTCAGGAAGAGTTTATTCACCTCACTAGGGAGCAAAAGAATAAATCATCTGATAAGCTGAAACTGCAATGTTCGTATTTCTTTCTTTAAGCTGCCTGGAAGATCACTGGCTGTGATTATTTTCTTTCCCTGAGGCATCTCCTCCAAGTTGTGCCTGGGTCACCAACACTAAGCTGAACTGACAAACTTGGAAGAAATGCATTATCAGTTTGCCACTAAGCTCCAAAGGATCAGAGCTTTCTTTCAATTTCTATTTGCCACAAGTCTATGAGCTCTTGAGAGCTTCTTGTATCTGAACTGTAGGTCTGACTGTAGAAATAGGGAGAGATTTGCCTTAATCTTTGCCATGCTGTAGTTTAGGAACACAGCTGTAGTTTTAGTAGCAGGTAAGACCACTAATGCTGTGGTAACTACATGAAGTAATAACAGAAAGCAAACAGTAGAGACATATTTTCATCCACAGCTTCACAAGTGCAAACTGCAGTGTTTGAGGGTTGCCAGATATGAGTGAATTTAACAGACACTGTCAGCTGAGAAGTCTCTGCCTCTGGGTATAGCTTCTCCTGTAACTAAGAACAAGTATCCCCTGGCTGCAACTTTGGTAACAGACACAAAGGAGAATGAACTTTAGAAAAACAGGCAGCAAAATAAATACCCCTTAAATCACACTTGAGCACTAGTGAAAGAGCATGTAGATAATGTAAGACAGGTTAACACTGAGACCAGTGCTGTCCAGAAACAGCTAAAACTTTTAAGTTGCTACAGTATCTAGGCCTGGAACAGGGGAAGGCACAGACAAATGCTTTAGAGGAGAACAGAAGTCACACATCATCCTGGCAAAGTTTCAAGACTATCAACAGCTACACTGTCCATTTTCGCCATGATGGCTGTCAAAAAGCAAGCAGTATTTTCACCATTTCCTACAGGAAGCCACAACAATGTCAAATTTCAGGCTGACCCTTGCCTCTGGTGAAGTAAGAGCACAGCTGTAACAGAACCCTGACACTATGAGAACATATATATATCTACGATACCCACAAATGAAGAATTTTCTGAATGCCTTACAATAAAATATTTTGTGAAACCTCACAATAGCTATATCCAACAGGCAAACATTATGTAGTTCAGTGGTACATGGCAACCTCCTTTTACTCCTTTCTACATAAGCCAGGCTCAAACTGTATTAGAAAAGGTTTCTGAAGTTTAATCTGATTGTTTTATTCTGTACTGAAACATTTTCTTTTCTCTTTTAAATGATAAAGGCCTGAAGATGATACCATTGTATAACCAAGAACCCTTGTTCTGGGTGCTTATGAGTCAATCTCTGCCAAGAACGTTCAAAACTAGATGAGGAAGCTGTGTACTCACCTCCTGGGTGAGTCCTCTCCAGCTGTAGCCAAATTGCCTTAAATGCCTCTAATGCCAGTGGAAATCAGCTATCATACTCACTCCAACTCTTTGAGTAATAGAAGGGAAGCAGAGACAAGAACAGTCAAAAGACCCAGAAGACAGTGCCCCTGCAAGCATGCTTGGAAGAATCACCAGGATCCATACTCGCTCATTGGAACAGAACAGGCATCTCCCTATACACTAATCATCCACCTAGAAAGACTTACTCTAGGACTGAGTCACAAGTAAAACCAGCTGCTGAAAATCCCACCTGAGTGTGATTGCAATTACAGAAGGAACCTGCATATGCTGAAACAGAAAGCAAGATACAGGAGATAGTCCTACTATTCACTATAAATATTACTTTGTTTCCTCTTACTTTAGAGAAAGTATCATCTTTGGCATACTTTTCATCACTTCCTCAGTCTTCTCCACAAATATCCTGATAATGACTCAAAGTATCACTGAACATTACACAATCTTCGAGAAAGCCCAAAAAGTCAACTTCTTCTCAAGCACTGCATGATGAAACAGAGTCCCACTCTCTTGTTACCAAACAAGCAGCTGACACAGGAAATGGGAGACAAGATATTCAGAATCCAATGCAACAGAACTACAGGATGAGGAGAGCCAGGGACTACAGGAGAAGCCACATGCTTCAGCAAGAGTCAAAAGCAAAGCACAGATTGCTAATCTGTAAAGAGAGATGGATGGCCAGAAGCTGTTGAATAATTAGGTTCTGAAGAAAACAGGTTTCACATGGGCCATCCTTTAAAAATACTAAATACATATGATTTTTGGTATGAGAACACTCAACACCAGTGTCCACCTCTAGAAATATTACAGCTGAAGAAATAGGAGAGTAATAACCAAAACACTCTGGCCAATCCTTGGCTTACCGCCACACTCCCTTCTAACTATAATTTGAGAGGAGAATTGAGAATTCAGCCATTGATGTAAAGGAAAAAGCCTGCTCCCTGTTTACATACCCACCCACTACCTTGCATTTTTAAAAATCTTTAGTATCACCACTATGGAAAGCAAACTGCTACTCTGCAGCAATGTGGGCAAAGTCCAATTCAACTGAATCTTTCTACTTGTAGAAAAGGATAGCAGGTAAAGTGAAAACTCAACCAAGGGAAAGAAATAAGTAACTCCTCTTTTTTCATCTCTGTCAAATTTACTTTGGAGAAGTCAGGCAAATATCTACTTCCCACAATTCTACTGCACCCAAGAACATCCCATCTGCCCCACCTCCCAAAATAAGCTTCAGTAAATTACTCTAACTGGCTTATAACAAGATTCATGGATTGGACTGGATCTATTTGCATTCACATTTATTACATGACAGAACACAAGTTCTTTGCTGTGGTCAGCAAACCCTGAGTAATAACATGGGTCAAAAGAAACAAATAC